TAAATATTTATGACATTGATATAAAGATATGGTAAATAAAAATCAATATAAATATCAGATCGATTTTTTAGTAATATCGAGGTAGTGAAAAATTTTAGGATAAGAACAGCCTTAGTATTTATCGTAAATTAATAAAAATAATAGTTTAATGAAGGATTTTATATCCTTGATTTTCCAATAAAGGTACATATACATAATAATAATTAGTGTTGTACCGATCCACATTTTTCGCCGATCGAATATTGGTTCAAAACTGATCCGATATATTTATATTGATTTTTTATACCAAACCCCCCCCCCTTGAACTAAATGTAATTTAAAAAACCCATATTTTCTATGAAAAAAACGAATATGCATTTAATTTTATTTTAATATTTATATTTCTACAATTAAGACTATTTAAAATAATATTATATTTGATAAAAAAAAATATATTATAATAATGTATCGATTTTATTTTGAATAATATTATGTGTTGGTATGAATCATAAAATTGTAATATTTAATATATAAAATTATAATATATTAGATTTTTTAATAAATATGAGAGCCTCTAGCTTTTCTGGCATAATCTACGATATGGACTATCAATATCCCCTGCCGTACTGAAAATAGATCATGATGGGACACTTGTTGCAGGAGGCGCCAAATATTTACATGCAGTTGGATATTCAGCATTTTCTCCAATAGTCGAGTGGATCCACAAGGGATAAAATATCCATTATCAGAGTTATCCAAACAAACACAGACATAAATTAGCATTTTTAAAATAGTGGGCTTCATAAAAACCCAACCTTTTATGGGGTTTGAAAAATAATCAACAAATGGGTCAATCATAACCCAACCAAGCTCTACTATATAAAATATGAAAATATGTTATTATACCATCTAGATATGAAGATTCTTTAATTTAGGGGGTAGTGTGCATTTCTATTGTTAAAAATAAAAAATAAATCTTTTGAAATATTATAATAATGTATAATAAACTATATAATTATCTATAATATATAATATATATAGGAGCCTAGTCACACTGTCATAATTTATAATATATATTTAAAAAGTCGTTATTTGGAAAAGCGTGTGTGGCCTAATCGGCTAGAGATTCGTTTACAAATCTGAAGGCATTGGGTTCGAATTCCAACAAACATTTTTTTCTTAACCCAACTTGGTATATTTTTTTTTAATCCAACTTGGTATTTTTTTTAATCCAACTTGGTGGTTCCATCCTTTGGGATGGGCATTAACTAAATTCCCATTGGGCTTGAAAATGTTCATTTGCAGACCTCTGGTGGTAAATGCATGGGAAAATAAAAGTGGCAGAAGCATATCATTTAGAAATAGATTCTTTGGTAAAGGTAAAATCCATTATGATCTACTGTTTCCTATGTCATCTTGGCAAGAGGTATGCAATGGGCAAGTTTTGGTACATCTGTCTGCTCATTTATTTAAAAATTATCATATTGGTTGATTTGGCTCTTTATGTATTATTTTAATATTTTTTACATAAACTTGTAAATTATGAAATAAAAAATAATATCTATCTATAATCTATCTATCTATAATCTATCTATCTATAATATATATAAAAGCCGTGTTACACTCACAGTGTCACAATCTATAATATATATTTAAAATTAATTTTGAAAAGCATCTGTGGCTTGCTTAATCGGCAAGAACGAAGCTAACAAATCTGATGGCTTTGGGTTCGAATCCCAGCAAAGATCTTTTTTTTCTTAATCAACTTGGTATTTTTTTTCTTCTTAATCCAACTTGATGGTTTCGTCCTTTAGGGTAATTTTTAGGCCTAGCCAGGGTATTTAAAATAATTAAAATATAGCCTAACCCCAGTACCTGTATCAAAATATATTTTCTTATAATCAGGATCATCATGAAGAATAGATCCATATTAGTGAAGGTCAACGGTCCGGATCGGTCTTAGACCGGGACTGGACCAATCTTTTTTTGAGGACCGTGGTCTGGAAGGTCTTTTTATTTTTACGCTTATATTATTGTTTAAGTTTGCTTTACTATTCAATTAATATAATTTTTTTGTATATTTTATTTTATGATATTTTTCTAGAGGAGTTATTTTAAATTTTGTTAATTTTTATTTTACAATATGAAAACCATAAGTTTGTCCAAGAAACATTTTACTTATAGTCCCAATAAAAAACATAGAGTATGTGTTCACTGCAGTACCAAATTTAATATATCGTCAGCAACAAGTAACAAAATAATTGTTTATAATTTTTTAAGCAATATATTAATCAAAATAAGCAGTAATATTAAAATATTTTGGTTATTATTTATATAGTTCTATTTTTTCTTAAATAACTGTCTGAATAATTCATTGTCAAAATAATTTAACCTAGTTATTTTATTAACCTTAAGCCAATGACATATAATGTCATCCTTAAGCAGACATCTGATAAAACATAAAATATAAAAATGAAAATAACTCAAAAACACAATCTACTCTAAATTTTAATATGCCCTCCACAAGTACAAAATCACTTTCTTCTATACCATTGGATAAATTTTATTGTTTATATAATACTCTTATATTTAATAAAATGATAAAACAAATCAAATTAGGTTAAAAATTGCAGAAAGTGATTTTGAGCTTGTGGAGGGCATATTAAAATTAAGATTCATCATTAGAAGTATATATTTTATGTTTTATCAGATGTCTGCTTAAGGTACCTAATTGTTTTATTAAGAATAAGGTGAAGTTATTTTGACAATGAATTATTCAGACAGTTTCTTAAGAAAAAATAGAACTATATAAATAATAACCAAAATATTTTAATAATAATACTGCTTATTTTGATTAATTTATTGCCTAAAAAATTATAAACAATTATTTTGTTACTTGTTGCTGAAGATACATTAAATTTGGTACTGTAATGAACACTGTTTTTTGTTGGAACTATAAGTAAAATGTTTCTTGGACAAACTTATGGTTTTCATATTGTAAAATAAAAATTAACAAAATCTAAAATAACTCATCTAGAAAAATATCATAAAATAAAATATACAAAAAAATTATATTAATTGAATAGTAAAGCAAACTTATATAATAATAAAAGACCAGTCTGGACCGTGGTCTGGATCGTAAAAAATAAAAAGACTGGTCCGGACCACGGTCCTCAAAAAAAGATCGGTCTAACAATCGGTCCCGGTCTAAGACCGATAGGACCGGACCTTTGACCTTCACTAATCATGAGAAGATATAAACTTATTTAAAACTATGTGGATAAGAATTTACAAAGGAGTGCTTTGTAGGTTCCATTTAAAAAACCCTAAAGGAAGAATCCATTCCCACAATCTAATAAATATTTACATTTTATATGATTACTAGCTGATGTCCCATAAGAATGACAAGGAATTAATATTCTCCTTAATTTGATAAGCCTATATGAGGTGTGAATCAAAAATTTACCTTATTTTGATGAGTTAATTCCAAAATTTTTATTATTCTTATAATATGTGTATATATGTGTATATATGTGTATATATGTGTATATATGTATATATATGTATATACATATATACTTATTGCATTCAATATGAACAAATATTTGAAACATGTTTAAATATACTTTTTTTAATTATATTAATTTCCTTATTTTTTTAATTTTTATTATTTATGTACTCAATAAAAAATTTAATCTTGCTAGATGAGGGTTTTGTATATTGTTATCATGGAAACAAATTTTGGATTTTGACTTATTAAGAATGAGTCAAATTGGCTTCAAGAAATTAAAAACCAATTATTTTAGGAAGAGCATCACAGATTGTTCCATCATCAAGATACCAAAAATTTATATCCAAATCAAATTTAGATTTAAGATAATAGATGAAGACAATGAATACCAAAGTAAAATATGAGGATGTGTGCCCCCTGCATCCTTTCGTCAGAATCTATGACATGTGGGCTGAATAAAGGAGTTTTAATGTTACAATATGTCTCTAGGAATTTTGAATAAACAGGACATTTGCGATAAAAACAATTTATAAAATTTGTTATAACATTTTTAAAGTCTACTTTATAATAGCCATGTTAGGAGGAGGATTTTGGATATAATATAAATGGCATGTGAAGCTATTTTGCCTTATCCCTTAACATTAAATCCTAACTGGTACGTATACTTAATAAATTAGGACCCGACCCTGGGTATTGACCTGTGACAATCATTTTTGCTAATAATCTTCTATCAGCCCATTGCAATGGGGTGGATATCACCACAGTGTTTGTGAGATAATCAGGTTTGCTCCCATAATTGATTCGAATCTATGATGGCAGGTCTTTTTTTAAAGAGTATTTAGGAAGGGTTTAAAGCATTTAAATGATTCTGATGAATGTAGATATACAAAGAGGGAGGGCAAGAACCATATCGTTTGAATGTGGAAAATTTGTTAAAAGAATTGATAAATATCATAATTTACAAATAATATTTTTTTTATTATATATTTTTCATAATATATTTGGCCGTTTCTCTAAATAATTATAGAAATCTTAGAAGAATGAATATGGATAATCTATTCCTCTCATTTGACTATTCTGATCCATCGTCAAATGAAAGTAACTTAATTTATCCATAAGGAGAAAATTCTAATTCCCAGTCATTCTTGATGGGTTATCAGCTAGTATATAACATAAAATAACAAAAAAAGTAAAATCGTATCGGTTTTTTACAGGTATTAGCCCAATCTGATATTTTTAAAAACTCTAAATATCGGTCTTAATACTATCACACTTAAAGCTTAGAAGTTTAGGCTATTGATGTGATGGTTTGTTAACTAAAAAATTCAAGGTATTCACATCATAACAACAATCATAAAAAATGAAAACATTTTTTTAGAAGATACTAATCACTTTCACTAACATTCCTCACTAGAATTTCAAATTAAGGAATTCGAGCTAATTTTAGTATTTATAGAAGATTGACTCATAAAAAAATTGACTGAATTTAAATAATAATTTTTTAATTTACCTGAATGGATCACTGAGTGCTTGTTTTTTTCTGTTATAGCTTGATCCTATGTTGGAATTGGATTTACCAATGGCAAGATTGTTATTCAAAGCATAATTGGTGTTGTAAGTAAGTGGTAAGCTAGACATAGTGCCCTTAAAGCCCAAATTTTTGTACAAGTGATTAAAATTGTTTGGGGAGGGATGATTGTATTTAAAACCGTTGATATGAGAATTGTTCAAATTGGGTACCCCATTATAAGCCGAAGGGTACTGATAAAGGTACTGAGGCATGCCATAATTAAAGTGCATCATTTTATTGCTGGAAGTTTTGGAGGACATAACGTTGATATTAGTATTGATGCAAGGAGGTTGGTGATTAGCCTGCAACAAAGGAGGCACAAAGGGTGAAATCCCAACATTTTGAGGATACAGTCCGTTTATGGTGGTACTGCTTTCCTTAAGACTGTTGTAATTTAAAAATGGGTTGATGGTATTGAATAGTTTATCACTTGGAGTATGAGACATATTGTTAGTGTCACCACTATTGTTGATATGTCTTATATTCGAATGGTGGTGTGTCCATATATAGGAATCACTAGAAGGTTGTTTTATAAGATGATTATAGTGCTGTTTTTGAAAGGGTTTATTGGCAGGCATCAGGGTATTCAAGGGCGTAGTAATGTTAATTAATTCAGGCAGTGTTTGCTGACTATCCCCAGAAATGCAATTATCCTAGAGATCAATAAAAAGAATATAATCTGTCAATGAAAAATGATATAGAGAATATCTATATAGGAAATATTGATTTCTATGTTTGCACAATTTTTTTAACTAAACAAATCAGTATGCTAAAAATCAAGAATTTCCTATGCATTTGATTACAAGATTACTATGTCGTGGATTTTATATGTGATCACACAAAATTGCAATATATTACAAATGAAAATATAAAAATATTCATTACATTTTCTTGATTATTTATATTAAATGTTACATTCCCATTTTTTATAAATTTTACAAGCAAAATTAGAAAAAACAATCCGATATATTAAAAAACTTTATAACTATTTAATTGTTACTAAATACCCCCCCCCCAAAAAAAAAATCATGAATTGAAGGAATATTTTATTAATAAATTTATTAGAGCTTGGAGTATATGGATCAAAAATGAACTCGAATAAAATATTCTATTATCTCCTTAATTCTATTTTGTTTTGACCATAATAATACATAGATTAGATACCCAATATAATAATCAGAGACCTGCAGGCCCAGCCCTAAACCCGGCCCGGCCCTAAATATACCCGGGCCGGGCCTAAAAAAAATTTTTTTAAACATATCCGGGCCGGGCCTAAAAAAATTTTTTTAAATAAACCCGGGCCAGGCCGGGCCTTAATATTTTTTATAAAAATTTTTACATTATGAGTTAATGGTTATAAGATTATATTATATTATAGTTATGATTAATATAATATTGGGCGATGGTTAACACTACCTAACAACCCACAGATCGATCCAATTATTAATTTCCTGCAAATTTATTCAAAGTATTAATATATTTTTTTATAATTCATATCTAAATTTTTACAACATATTTTACCAAAACAATCAAATAAAGGAATATCTTAAATAAGCCCCAATATTCAAGTATTATTAATATATTTTTTTATAATTCATATCTAAATTTTTAGAATATATTTTACCAAAACAATCAAATAAAGGATTATCACTTCTTAAAGTAATTGATTTTACTTAATATAAAGCATTTTTTAATTGAAAAATTTGTTTTACACAAGTATCATTTTATTTCTCTTTTTCTCTGTCCCAAATTCAAGCAATTACGTATGTAGTCAGGGACAGGTCGCAAAATGAGGGAAAACTATATAAAAGATTATATTAAATTACAAGAGGCTCAGGAAGTAAATGAAATACCATCGACCAGTCAAATTACGACTGTTGTTATAAAAACTGAATCGTTTTATGACAAATGGGGCGATGGTAATTCTGGTAAAATGTCAATACCCGATGATGAATATTATAATTACATAAATAATAGATAAAACATTTAAGGTGGATAATTTGTTAGAGTGGTGGGCGGCTCATCAAAGCGAATTTCCAATTTTAGCAAAATTGGCAATTCCTGCTTTAAGTGCAAGCTGTGAGCGGAATTTTTCCACTACTGGGAGAATTCTTGAAGAAAGAAGAAGTAATCTTCAACCTGAAAAGGTAGATATGCTTCTCTTTCTTCATGATAATTTGTGAATTTTTAATATCTTTCTTGAGTATAGGGTTTCGTTAATCATGCTGGTTTTTTACTTTGCAAACTATCAAATATTTATTGCATTTATTATATTTACCTTGAGTCATGAAAATTTTTAATCCAACATTTTTATTATTTTTTTTTACAATTTTATATAATACAATTATCTTCTTTTGTTAAAAATTTATATTATAAAATAAATTATATTAATATTGTGCAATTAGATTATATTTTCAAAATACTATTTATTATACATGCATTTTTTTAAATAGCGATTTATTTTTATTTTATAAATTAAATAGTAAATTAAATACAATATATTATATTCTCAAAATATTTTCCATTTTTATAAATTAAATATTAGTTTTATTTTTTTTAAATGTAATATAAAATATAGTATATGACAAATATTATTACCATTTTTATGAATATTAGTTTTGTTTTTATAAATGCAATATAAAATATAGTATGCTCAAAATATCCATTTTTATAAATAACTGATTTATAATTTTATAAATTTAATATAATATTCTCAAAATATTAGCTTTTTACATGCATTTTTTAAATAATAAGCAATAATACTCGCTGAAAAATATGGTAAAATACCTCATAGGTGAATTTTTGTATATACCAGGTCATTTTTGAAAATTCCGAGCCAGGCCTGAAATTTTTTTTAAAAAAATATCCGGGCCGGGCCTTAAATTTTTAAATCCGGGCCGGGCCGGGCCGTAAAAAATTTTTTTTAAAATATCCGGGCCGGGCCTAAAAAATTTAAAACCGGGCCGGGCCGTGCAAATGGTACCTCTGCAGGTCTCTGATAATAATTAACCCTCGCATTTAAAAAGAGGTTGGCCTACAACATTCTATGAATTGAAGAAAAAAGATTGATTTCAACCTTATAAACAGATAAGAAGAAATTTTTACTTTTAATTTTTCTTGCAAAATAAACTTTTGAAGAACATAAAATAAATTACTACAAGTTTCATTATTTGGTCATTCCATGATAAATGAGCAAGAAAATTGATTTTATAGCCGACCTCTTTCAATTTTGATAAAAATTTATAAGTACTTTTGCTCATCAGTAGTGTTGCGTAATCGGCTAAAAACTACGCCTAAGCCTAATAAGGCTAAGCCTAAAAATCGGCTAAGCCTAATTAGGCTAAGCCTAAAAAAATCGGCTAATCCTATTAGCCTAAGCCTAAAAATCGGCTAAGCCTAATTAGGTAAGCCTAAAAATCGGCTAAAACTAAAAATCGGCTAAGCCTAATTAGGTTAAGCCTAAAAATCGGCTAAGCCTATATAAATCTGCTAAAAATTAGTCAAAATTCTGCATCGATGCTTAGTATTAATTATTATTTATTTATTTTAGTAAAATAATTTATTTTATTTATATTTAATGTAAATATTTTATTATTATCAACAAATAAACATGATATGATTTAATATTTTTTATTTATATTATTATATTTTGAAATGAAAATAAATTTATTTGTTTGATGTTATTTTAATAAAAAAAATAATATGCTGCTATATTGTAAAATTGTAATATTCTTTTTAATATAATTTATTAGTGATTTTCACAATCTTCTTTATAAATACATCTTTTATTGAGGAATTATATTGTAAATTTTATTAGATAAATAAACAATCTTTTAGGTGAAATCTTTTATAATTTTTTTATCATTTTTTTTAAATTATCTTTTTTATTAAATGAGGTGGATTTTATGAAACTTTTTTGATGATTTTATATGATCTTTTTAAGGATAATATTTTAATGTGACAATTGTCATAATCGTTATTTTATAAGTTTTTTGAATTTTTTTGAAGAAAATAGGTTAAAATAAGTATTAATAACATGTGTAAATATAAATTTAGTGAAGATGTACCAAAGAAAAGTGACAATTGTCATAATCGTTATTTTTTTTTTTGAATTTTTTTGACGACAATATGTTAAAATAAGTATTAATAACATGTTTAAATAAAAATTTAGTGAAGATGTACCATAGAAAATTGACAATTGTCATAATCGTTATTTTATACGTTTTTGGAATTTTTTTGAAGAAAATAGGTTAAAATAAGTATTAATAACATGTTTAATTATAAATTTAGTGAAGATGTATCAATGAAAAGTGACAATTGTCATAATCGTTATTTTATAAGTTTTTTGAATTTTTTTGAAGAAAATAGGTTAAAATAAGTATTAATAACATGTGTAAATATAAATTTAGTGAAGATGTACCAATGAAAAGTGACATTTGTCATAATCGTTATTTTTAAAGTTTTTTGAATTTTTTTGAAGAAAATATGTTAAAATAAGTAGTAAAAACATGTTTAAATAAAACTTAGTGAAGATGTACCATAGAAAAGTGACAATTATCATAATCGTTATTTTATAAGTTTTTGGAATTTTTTTGAAGAAAATATGTTAAAATAAGTATTAAAAACATGTTTAAATAAAAATTTAGTGAAGATGTACCATAGAAAAGTGACAATTGTCATAATCGTTATTTTATAAGTTTTTTGAATTTTTTTGAAGAAAATATGTTAAAATAAGTATTGATAACATGTTTAAATAAAATTTAGTGAAGATGTACCATAGAAAATTGACATTGTCATAATGGTTATTTTTAAAGTTTTTTGAATTTTTTTGACGAAAATATGTTAAAATAAGTATTAATAACATGTGTAAATATAAATTTAGTGAAGACAATGAAAAGTGACAATTGTCATATTCGTTATTTTTTAAATTTTTTTGACGAAAATATGTTAAAATAAGTATTAATAACATGTGTAAATATAAATTTAGTGAAGATGTACCAATGAAAAGTGACAATTGTCATAATCGTTATTCTTAAAGTTTTTTGAATTTTTTTGACGAAAATATTTTAAAATATGTATATATAACATGTTTAAATAAAAATTTAATGAAGATGTACTCTAGATAAGCGACAATTGTCATAATCATTATTTTTCAAGTTTTTTGATTTTTGTTGATGAAAATATGTTAAAATGAGTAATAATAACATGTTTAAATAAAAATTTAGTGAAGATGTACTATAGAAAAGTGACAATTGTCATAATTGTTATTTTTAAAATTTCTTTGATGTAAATGGGTAAAAATGTAGATTGTAAAATTAAAATTGCCTGAGTATATGCCATAGAAAAACATATGGTAATAATAGATTCTTCCCCAAAAACAGGAGCAAATTGGCATTTTATTACATTTGTTCATCGGGTCAGAAATTAATATGCAAAATTTATATCATAATATCTAATCCTAAGTTAGAAATTATTATTTTTTTACCAATTTTCACCAGACAATCTTGTTTAAAATTTGGGTAAACTTTTTTTTCTATTTTAAAATCAATATCGATGCAAGTTAACTATTTTCGTCAAAAAAAATCAAAAAACTTTAAAAATAACGATTATGACAATTGTCACTTTTCTATGGTGCATCTTCACTAAATTTATATTTACACATGTTATTTATACTTATTTTAACATATTTTCGTCAAAAAAATTCAAAAAACTTTAAAAATAGCGATTATGACAATTGTCACTTTTCATTGGTACATCTTCACTAAATTTATATTTACACATGTTATTAATACTTATTTTAACATATTTTCGTCAAAAAAATTCAAAAAACTTTAAAAATAGCGATTATGACAATTGTCAGTTTTCTATGGTACATCTTCACTAAATTTATATTTACACATGTTATTAATACTTATTTTAACATATTTTCGTCAAAAAAATTCAAAAAACTTTAAAAATAACGATTATGACAATTGTCACTTTTCTATGGTACATCTTCACTAAATTTATATTTACACATGTTATTAATACTTATTTTAACATATTTTCGTCAAAAAAATTCAAAAAATTTTAAAAATAACGATTATGACAATTGTCACTTTTCTATGGTACATCTTCACTAAATTTATATTTACACATGTTATTAATACTTATTTTAACAAATTTTCGTCAAAAAAATTCAAAAAACTTTAAAATTAACCATTATGACAATTGTCACTTTTCATTGGTACATCTTCACTAAATTTATATTTACACATGTTATTAATTCTTATTTTAACATATTTTCGTCAAAAAAATTCAAAAAACTTTAAAAATAGCGATTATGACAACTGTCAGTTTTCTATGGTACATCTTCACTAAATTTATATTTACACATGTTATTAATACTTATTTTAACATATTTTCGTCAAAAAAATTCAAAAAACTTTAAAAATAACGATTATGACAATTGTCACTTTTCTATGGTACATCTTCACTAAATTTATATTTACACATGTTATTAATACTTATTTTAACATATTTTCGTCAAAAAAATTCAAAAAACTTTAAAAATAGCGATTATGACAATTGTCACTTTTCATTGGTACATCTTCACTAAATTTATATTTACACATGTTATTAATACTTATTTTAACATATTTTCGTCAAAAAAATTCAAAAAATTTAAAAAATAACGATTATGACAATTGTCACTTTTCATTGGTATATCTTCACTAAATATGTATTTACACATGTTATTAATACTTATTTTAACATACTTCCTTCAAAAAAATTCAAAAAACTTATAAAAGAACGATTATGACAATTGTCACATTAAAATATTATCCTTAAAAAGATCATATAAAATAACATCAAAAAAGTTTCATAAAATCCACCTTATTTAATAATAAATAGATAATTTTAAAAAAATGATAAAAGATTTCACCTAAAAGATTGTTTATTTATCTAATAAAATTTACAATATAATTCCTCAATAAAAGATGTATTTACAAAGAAGATTGTGAAAATCACTAATAAATTATATAAAAGAATATTACATTTTTACAATATAGCAGCTTATTATTTTTTTTATTAAAAAAACATCAAATAAATAAATTTATTTTCATTTCAAAATATAATATAAATAAAAAATATTAAATCATATCATGTTTATTTGTTGATAATAATAAAATATTTACATTAAATATAAATAAAATAAATTATTTTACTAAAATAAATAAATAATAATTAATGCTAAGCATCGATGCAGAATTTTGACTAATTTATTTTAGCCAATTTTTAGGTTTAGCCCATTTTTAGGCTTAGCCAATTTTTAGGTTTAGCCGATTTGTAGGCTTAGCCTAATTAGGCTTAGCCGATTTTTAGGCTTAGCCTAATTAGGCTTAGCCGATTTTTAGGCTTAGCCTAATTAGGCTTAGCCGATTTTTAGGCTATACCTAATTAGGCTTAGCCGATTTTTCCACCTAAAATCTCGGCTAAGCCGTTTTTAGTCGGCTAAAATTAGCCGATTACGCAACACTACTCATCAGCAATTATATTATCTGAGATAATAGGGATTAAAGGCACAAAAATCCACTTTTAAAATATTTTACCGATGTTAAATAATTAGATTTAAATAAAAAGCTAAATTATTTCGATAAACATCATATTAAATTTATTTAAATATTAGTCATCTTATGTAAATTTGAAAATTAATATTTAGAATATATTATGAGCTTCCATTTTTCAAATTTTTTTATTTTTGGTATTCTTTTAGTATTTTCCTAATAATTAACGCTGCTAGATAATTATTTAAAGATTAAAATGTCGCGAATAAGATATTAATGAGGTATAGATGGCGCTATATATTAAAATTAAGATGCAATAAGAGGTTTTTCTGAATAAATAAATTTTATATAAAATATTTTTTATTCATGATATTACTCCAATTTCAAAGCCTTGAAATGATTTCTAAACAATAAAAAAGCTTTTGATTGCATTAAAATGTTCATATATAGCGTAATCTATACGTTTTTAACCAGTCACGCATTGAAAAAATTAGTAGAAAAATTAATGATTATTTAGAAATATTAATTTTAAATTTTCTAGTTTAAAAAAATGATGGTTCCCCCTTAATCAACAATTATTGATTTAGTTATTAATATAAGATTCAATATTCGAACAAATTAAACTTCTAATTTAAAACTAGTTATTAAACAACAGTTAATAGTTTAAAAAAGCCGATTCCCCAATATTTCAGGTAATACTAAGCTAAAATTTGTCTCAGATATTACTAAAACACATGTTCCTACACTTTATCGAAATTGAAAGAGATCGCCCAAAGGTATTTGATTTGACATGAAATGACGATAAAGGCATTTTACTGGCTTAAATAAATAATAAAAATATTTATGCGGAAATGTAAACTGGGAAAAATCTTATTATTTTCTTGGAATATAAGAATGACATCAGGTATCAGTAATATCGGCCGGTACCGTAAATAGTATTAAAAAAGTAGCATCGCTGCAACTCTTTAATAAATAAACCAATATGTAAAATTACTCGATTTTAGCTTACATATATCAGACTTATGGCACGGGGACTATATTGATTGTTGGTAAAGATTTCACTATTGTAAACATTTTTATTTTTGAATTTATCTTCAGTCTTAGAAGCCTCCAAACCAATGGTAGTCATCAAATTGGGTTGATCGAAGTTTGTGTTGGTATAAGATGTGTTCCCATTGTGATTTGTTTTGTCGAAGAAGGAACTAGAGATAATAATATTGTTAGGTGATTCAATGGGTAATATATTGGAAGCCGTGTTAGCTGGGTCTCGATGATGTTGAGAGGATAGGAACTGATTAGGTATGGGGGTATCTTTAACTTTCACTCGGACCTTAAAAAAGTAAAATAAGTGAAAATGAGGCATGATTAATAATTAGAGCTATATGTTAATAAAATACTTAAATAAAAAAACCGACATGTAAATGCCTTTAAACAATTACAGCTTAATGTCGCAGATTAGGTTAAAAAATATATTACGAATAGGTACAAGAAACGTTCCAGGAACAAGAAGTTTAAAAAACAAGGAAAAGGGTATGAGGGATTATTTTTAAAATGGAATGTTTCAGAATTTTCTCGGTTGTTAATATTCCGGCTTCTCAGACATACTTTGATATAAAAAATTTTAAATTAATGAAAGGGGCAGATAAAATGTTGATTGTGAGACCATAGTCACGGGATGGTTGATAATATTAAATTTTAACCAATAAAATGATAATTGGGTCATTAAATCCAAAACCTAACAGATAAACATGATTTCTATGGACTCCTGGAAATTTGAATGAAATTTATATACAAACTAGAAGTCTGCAATGGCGGGTTTTTACCCTATAAGCCCGCTTGTCCAATGTTTAAAAAAATTTACTCCATTAGTCTATAATTTTCCGCCCGACCATTATTTATAAAAAATTTTAACTCGAGGCGGCCATATAAAAAATAAATATGTACATTCTTTCAATTTTTTAACGAATAAAATAATTCAGTTTCAGTTGCACCCTTTCATAATTTAGGAAATTACTATATTAAACATAAAAAAATATATATTAAAATACAGATAAAGAATTTATTTGATCAAATAAAATATTTATGAAAAAATTATAAATGTAAAATTAAAATTTATTGATATTATTTGTAATTATATTGCAAAAATAATAACGAATCCGCATTTTCCGGATTCAAGCACGTTCTTCTTTGTTTTAAAAACCTTCCAGCAATGCTTAATCCTCCTTCAGAAGAAGCATTAGTTGCTGGAATTGCCAATAATTTTCTAGCTAATCTTGGTAGCTTTGGTAAAAAATTTTCTTGTCGTTTCCATCAAGGTAGGATATCTGTTTGAAGTATATCCACTTCCTTAAGTGAAATCTTTAAATTAAAAGTGAAAACAATTAATAATAAATTTTTAAAAGTAATTTTGTTTGTAAATTGTAAACTAAACTGTAGCCTAAAATCTTGATAAATTATATAAATCAAACTTGTTACTTAAAGATTTAAATATATTGTTATATCATTAGGTAGAGTGCTCTCCTCTGTAACCACCTAATTCTCCCATTGTAGTGGTTTAATTTTGACGTGGATGCTATTTATTTAAAACATTGCATTTATAATTTAATACCCTTTAATTGAATTCTCTTTGCTTTTGAGAAAACGGGCAAAAACAGATTTTCATCCATGTATATGTTATATTCTTCCATGCAAATCAAATCCAATTTCCGATATATTTTTTTGTTTCATTAATCTCTTCCGAAGACAATATCCTCAGTTGTGGGAATTTTAGTATTAAAAATGCTGAGTAGCATATTTTTTAAAAATTTTACTTAAATGCTTTTTAATAGCAAATAAAAATTGAAATTTATTTAGTCCGCCAGTCAAAACAAAAACATAATTTTCCCCATGCAATCTACAATTAGAAAAATTTTTAGCGTATTAGCTTTTATATTTTTGAAGATTATGTAAGTTCAATACATAAAAAATTGCCTTTTTGAGTGTCTGTAATCATTAAATTTATGATTGATCATAATAAATTTATTATTCACAGACACTATAATTGCATTTTTATAATTTAACGATCTAATTAACTCGTTACTTTTCAAGTTATTTATAATATATTTCATTCATTATATTTTTATATCCCATATTAAAAATAAAATAACACTTCTATTTATTTCCGATGAAAAAGAGCACAACTCTTAATTAATGTTTAATAAAATTTATTAAATACAAATTAAATAATATTATTATTTATTTATGTATTTTTATGGTACAATAAATATAAATATTATATTTTTATTTAGAATCTATCGGGGAAATTCACTAAGAGGCATTATCAAAGTGATATATCCATTTTCATCCCAATTGTAACATTTCCATCCCAGTCATTTTTTTCTTAGAAATATTTATTCATCAGATTTTTAAATTTCTTATTATTGTAAATTGAGTGATATATCCATTTTCATCCCAATTGTAACATTTCCATCCCAGTCATTTTTTTCTTAGAAATATTTATCCATCAGATTTTTAAATTTCTTATTATTGTAAATTGAAAAAAGATAGATTTTAAACAAAACACCAACTTATGGACATACCACGATTTTTATAAAATTTTAAGCAAATACACTAAGACTAATCTAGATATATATAAAAAAATAGGAATGCCATATAAAATTATATAAATATCACACATATGTTATTAATTGTCCTAACATTAATTCTAATGCTGTTTTGAATTTGATTTAATACAATAAAATAAATTAAGATTTTTGCCAACTATAACATGGACTAAAAAATATTGTTTGAAATGTGTATCCATTTTATAACCATCATCCTAAGTTTGATTCCTTTTCTAAAAAACTGGTCGATTTGACATTTAATCAGCCAAATATATGCCTAGCGTTCAGTAACAATGAGTTTATAGTTTGAATTTTTTTTTAAATTATATATTTCACAAAATTTAAAAATGTAATTGTATATATTCTTTTTGGAATATAATAGATACATCATTTAAAGAAGACAGGCCGAAGTATATATAATTTTATATTTTGCATATTATCTTATCTGTAACAGGGTAATTATATATTTTATTTGCAATTTTTTCTTTCACAAAACGTTATATATTATGAATCTTAAGCCAGCAGGAAAATGATGAGCTTTACAAAAATAATTCACTTTTTTTTTAAAAAAAATAACATAAAATTTTAAAAACATAAATTAATATGCAAACAAATAGTGAAAGTAGTGTTTATAAAAACCCGATTTGGATCACTTTTAAAAACTACCCTATTAAGAAAGCCAAAATAATATTATATAAGCATCGAGATTGAACAAATAGAGCAAAATCTCCAGGCATACATAATATTTTAACTAAAATCCTAATCGGGTCCTTTTAAATCGACTCAAATCGTTTAAACAATCCTAAGTGAAGGTCAACGGTCTGGGTTTCTCCGTTTGAATCGCGGCATACTAATCGTGGTAATATGGTCATTAGAATCGAATCCGTTGTTCAGCTTAGACTGATAATAAATATGTATAATCTTTTTATAATTATCAAATATATAACAATATAAAAAAATTCAAAATCTATTCAATATTTATATATAAACCTAGTTTCCTACATTTTTTAATTGATATATAATTTATTTACTCACTATATATTATTTACCATTAATCTATAATGCATGTTCAAATATGATAAAATATTTAAGTGTTAAGTTTGGGAAATTCAAATGGTCAAATCATTTCAGAATCTCAAGAAAAGGCAATGCATTCATTGTTAGGGTCATTCCATGTCAAATCAATCACTTTTCGGCCGACCCCTTTCGATTTTGATAAAAAATCGTAGGCTGGTTATATATGTTCCCATTAGATAATAAACAAAATTTTAGCGCATTAGCAATTATATTAGCGGAGATATTCAGGGTTAAAGGTCCAAAAAACGTCTATTTTTGCCTTTTACTGATGTTAAATAATTAGTTTTTAATTTAAAACTAAATATGATCAAATATTGAATCTAATATCAATAGCTAAGTTAATAATTGATGATTATGGTGAAAACATCAAAATTAATTTTTGATAAAATATGGGTCATCTTATGGTCAGTTGAAAACTTGAAATTAATACTTCGAAATGTATATGATCTCCGATTTTTAATTTTTTTAAAAAATATTATCCGTTTACTATTTTTTTAGTAATTTCTTCAACAATTAGCATGGCTGGATATTTATTTAAAAAAATATTGCGATTTTTATACTTTAAAAAAAATAGATGGCGCTATATATATAGTTTGTCACTTATCTATAGTACATCTTCACTGAAATTTTAATTTAACATGTTACAACCTATATTTATATTCATTTGTGTCAAAAAAATTCTATAAACTTTAAAAATAACGATTATGACAATTGTCACTTATCTAGGGTACATATTCACTGAAGTTTTATTTAAATATTTTAGCAATACTTATTTTAGCCCATTTAAATAAAAAAAAATTTAAAAACTTTAAAAACTAAGATTTGTCACTTTTATATGTTACATCTTAATTGAAATTTTAATTTAGCATGTTAAAAATACATATTTTTGTCCATTAGCATCAAAAAAAATCTAATATGTTTAAAAATATTGATTATGATAATTGTCAAATTTCCAAGGAACATCTTTATTGAATTTATAATTTAACATCTTTACAATATAAATATTATTTTACCTTTTATGTCAAAAAGTTTCAAAAATGTTTAAAAAATAACGAATATGACAATTTTCATATTAAAATATTTTTGTTAAAAAGATCATATAAAATAATATAAAAAAGATATAAATATTTTTAAAAAAATTATTAGGAAAAATAACATCTTTTAATATACTAAAAAAAGATAATTTTACAAAGATGATTAAAAAAAACTATAAAAGATTTCACCTAAAAATTGTTTATTTATAATAAAATTCTCAAAAGAATTCCTCAAAAATGATTTAGTTACAAAGAAGATTTAAAATTCTTATCAAATCCAAATATGTTCAACAAAAATGTATATATATAAAATCTTTGTTGATATTGAAGATAGAAATATCAATAACAACTTAAACAATTGAAAGATGGTGGTTAGACCAAAAATAACATTTAAAAAGTCCAGGACGGGCCAACCTTATGTATATAAATCATGGACTATGTCTAAATATTTTTTAAAAAATCCTTGCCAGCCCTATTTTTTTTGAAAATAGGATCCTGGACGAAATTATTAGGGCTATGCAAATTACCTCTGCAGCTATCTGATATTAATATTTTAAAAAACCACATTTAAAAATTCATAAATAATACTTAATATTAATTAGGGCTGTGCCGATATT